AGGGAGGGAGGGAAGGAGGAAGTAAGGAAGGAAGGGAGGGAGGGAAGTAGGGAAGGGAGGAAGGAAGGGAGGGAGGGAAGTAGGGAAGGGAGGAAGAAAGGAAGGAAGCTTAGAGAGGTAGAATAATAGGACCAAGCTCCCATAACTAATGGGCAGTGGAGCCAGATTTAAAGGTCAAATTAGGCCATTATTCTTTATAAACCATACTGAAAGGCCCAGAGATGAGTTAAAGTAGTTCTGATTTCATCATCATGGAAGACTTCCTGAGGGATATTGCATTGTTTGTTTTAACCTCTGAAAGTCAGATGTACTTTAACAGGCAAAGTAGGGATGAGGGGAGTAGCATTCTAGAAAGAAATAATATGAGCTAAGCGATGAAAAGCAAAAAGCATAATACTGCTTAGGAAATAGTGATTGTTGACAGGAATTTGGGATTTATGAGATGGAAGGTTTACAAAAAAAAAAAAAATTTAGAAGAATGCATTTCCTCAGCTGTCAAATAGGGAAGATGATCATAATACCCACTCTCACCAAGTCATCATGAGACTGAATACTACTATATTCCTAAAGTGCTTTTTACTGTGCTCATAAAGAGTAAGCTTCAATTAATGTAATCTTTTTAAGCTATTATGTCAATGTGCGTATCACATTGTGTCTTGATAGTTGTGTGCATATTAGTCTTCACTGTTAGATTGTAAATCACTTGATTGCAGATAATAGATCTGACTCATTTTGCTGTCCTCCAAGGCATCAAGCAATGTTTTGCATCAACAATTTTAGATAAAGAAAATTTTAAATTTTATGGGAAATTGAAGCATTACATTTTATGTAATCACTAGTGTTAGTTCTATGCGTAATTGTGCATATCCACATCTGTGTTAGATATTGCAGTATGTAAGATAATAGCTAAAATGTCATGAGTGCTTACTTGTGTCAAACATGGTTCTAAGCACTTTGTGTACATTTCTTATTTAATTCTCACAAAATTATGAGGAAGATCTTATTATTATCTTGGTTTATAGATGAGGAACTTGAGGCACAGAGCAGTGATGTCATATACTGGAGGTCACAAATCTCGTAAGTAAAAGTGAGAAGGATTCTGGCTCCAGAATGCATGTTCTTAGCGACGGTAGTATCCAAAGTCTTAGAATATGTCTTGACATTATTTCTGCATACTAGATTACATATTATTTCCATTTATGGCCTAATGACTTTTTTTTCTTTAAATAATAGGTGGTGTGGCACTCCATGCAAGATGAATTTATACGCCAGTATAAGCACTTTGAAGGTTTGATAGCTCGCTGCTATCCTGGATCTGGTATTACAATGGAATTCACTATTCAGGACATTCTGGATTATTTTTCCAGCATTGCACAGTCCCACTAAACCTTGTGAAAGAAGGAAAGATAAGTGAATGAAGCATTTGAGTATACCAGACACTATACCAAAATACCAAGCAACTGTTTAGAGAACCCAGACTTACAATTTTACGTATTATTAAATGTTAGATAAATGGGTAGTACCATACTACAAATATTTAAGTGCAGAATTACCAACCTATATAGCAGTTTTATTTGCACTGTAGGTTGTGTCCTAACTTAAGCATTTATGTCATCATAAAATGCCCTTAGCATTCCTCAGTGACTGGATGGGAAATTTTCCTTTATTGCCTACCTGCCTGTGTTTGAGAGTGGTTGTCCCATGAGTAATGCATTTGGAGTTCTTCAGCTTTCACTGCTTCTCTGTTGCTTGCTAATCATGTAACTACTAAAATACCATACAAAATTGTTTTTTCACACTAACAAATGTGTATATGGAAGAGAGGGCTCATGTGATGATCCTTTATTTGTAAACTTAAATTTTTGAGGATTATGTGACTGTAATAACAAATGTGAAATAAATTTTCAAAAAAGTTGACACTTGATAGTATTTTAAAGTCTGTTATATGCTGTCTTCTGTATTAAAGCAAATCCTTACAAAACCCATATACAAAAATTAATTGCAAGTTTACATACCACAAAACACTTAAAAGTTTAATAATAAGTAAAGTAAGCTGAGTGCAGTGGCCCATGCCTGTAATTCCAGCACTCTGGGACTCCAAGGAGGGAGGACTGACTGAGGCCAGGAATTTGAGACTACCCTGGGCAACACAGTGAGACCCTGTCTCTACAGAAAAATAATTTTCTAAATTAGCCAGGTGTGATGGTACATGACTATAAGCCACTTGAGAAGTGGAGGTAGGAGGACTGCTCTAGCCCAAGAGTTTGAGCTGTGATTGTGCCACTGTACTCCATCCTGGGCAACATAGCAAGACATTGCCACTTAAAAAAAAATAATAGCATCAAAGATGTTTAGTATTTAGAATTAATTCTAACAACAGATGGGCTATATCCTGAATTGAATCCCTGCTAAAATTTTATGTTGATACCCTAACCCCCAATTGGCTATATTGAAGGTAGGGACTTTAAGAAGGTGATTAAGATTACATGAGGTCAGAAGGGTAGAAACTCTGATTTAATTAGACTCAATGCCCTTGTAAGGAGAGGAAGAGACACCAGAGCTCGCTCTCCCTCCGCCATGGGAGGGCACAATGAGAAGGCAGCTGTCTGCAAAGCAGGAAGAAAGCCCTCACCAGAACCTGACCATGTTGGTTCTCAGCATGCATGATCTGAGACTTCCAGCCCCAAGCTAATACAAGATGTATAAGACCTTTATGGAGAAATTATAACTACTGAAAGATACTAAAGAAGATCAAAATAAGTGAAGAAGTATTCATGTTTCCAGATATGAACACATACTAAAGTAGAAATGGCAGTTCTTGCTCATTTTTTTGTTTTTGTTTTTGTTTTTGTTTTGTTTTTTTGTAGAGAGAGGGGATCTCTGCTCTGTTACCCAGGCTGGAATGCGGTGGTGTGATGACAGCTCACTGCAGCCTCTACCTCCTGGGCTCAAGTGATCCTCCCACCTCAGCCTTCCAAGTAGCTGAGTGTACGGATACACATCACCACATCTGGCTAATTTTATTTTTTGTAGAAATGGGGTCTCCCTATGTTGCTCAGGCTGGTCTCAAACTCCTGGGTTCAAGTAATCCTTCTGCTTCAGCCTCCCAAAGCACTAGGATTACAGGTGTGAGCCACTGTGCCAGCTGGCAGTTATTTTCAAGTTTCAAGATTTAGCACAGTTCCAGTCAAAATCACAACTGTCTTTGTTTGGTTTTGTTTCTGTAGGACTTGACAAGCTGATTCCAAAATGTATATGAAGATCAAAAGACTAATAGCCAGTACTCTCCTTGGAAGGTAGAAGGAGTTTTCTTATCAAGAATTATAATTAAAGCAGCATTTTATTGGTACGAAGATAAATAGACCAGTGGAACAAAACTGAGAGCACAGAAACAGAGCCATACAAATATGGACTCTGTTAATATTACCTGTGTGGCATGGCATGGCAAGTCAGTGGGGAAGTGACAGACTTGGAATAAGTGGTACTGAGACATTGGTAGTCCATAAGAGAAAAGGTGAAAATTGAACACCTATCTCACACCACACTCAGAATGAATTCCACGTGGACTGAATACCTAAATGTGAAAGGCAAAAACTATGGAACTTTTCAAAGACAGTGTAAGAAAGTATCATTTTTGCCCCAAGACAGAAGAATTTTGTTTAAAAAGACACAAAATTGCAAATTGGAAAAAATGAACAGATTTGACTATATTAAAAATAGGAACTTATGGTCATCTTTTGATGAAAGTGAAATGACAATCTACAAATTGAGAAAATATAACTAACACATGTCACAAAACAATCAGCATCCAAAGCCTATTTTTAAGCTTCCAAAAATCAGTTCAAAAAAAAACATAGAACAAAAAAACCCAAACAACTTTAACACAGGCATTTCACAGAAGAAAGAAACAAAATGGCTATAAACATATGAAGTGTTCACCGTTACTTGTTACCAAGGAAATGTGAATTTAAAAGAATGTGAAGCCACCAAAACACAAATGCTTCTACAATCACTTAAACCATTTGACATCATCTAGTAAAGATGCATGTCATTTATGACTCAGCAATTCCAGTCTTAGGTATGTGCCCCAAAGGAATAGGTCTCTAAGATCCCCATGTCCCTGCCAGATACCATCCCCTTCCTATCCTGATTTACAGATTAGAATAACCTATGTGTTTATAAATACAGGTGTCTGCGCCCCATACAGACATTAAATTTCAATTGGTCCAGTGCGGGGCCCAAGCATCTATGATTTTTAAAAACTTTGCACTAATTCTGGTACTCTGAGGATTAAGAACCACTGCCATAAAGAAACTCATGTATTATGAATTAGTATTAGGTTGGTGCAAAAGTCATTGCTGTTAAAAGTAATGGCAAAAACTGCAATGAGTTTTGCACTAACCTAATCCAAAGTCGAATCAAAGCTCCCATCAGTACTTTTGTTTGTAATAACAAAAAACTGCAAACAACCCATATGTTCATAATAGTAGAAGGGATAGACTAAGGTACAGAGCCATTCAATAGAATACCAATAGAGTGAAAATGAGTAAATTTTTGCTATACTAACAATGTAGATTAATGACAGGAAAATGATGTCAGATAAAAAAGGTAAATCACAAAAGAATACATGCAGTATGATCCTATTAATATAAAAGTTCAAAAACCTTTAAGATTAAATAATATGTGGTTTGGGATTACAAATGTAAAACTAAAGAAGAGAGAATGATACAATTCTGGAGTGATTGGAGGAGCAGGGAAGGAAGGGGATGGTGTCTGGCAGGGACATACAGGATTTTTAAAGGCATGTTAGAATATTCTTAAACTGGACAGTGGATACACAGATTTTATTGTATCCTGACATTTTATATCCTACATATACCTTATAATTTTTTTTTTTTTTTTTTTTGAGACAGAGTCTCGCTCTGTTGCCCAAGCTGGAGTACAGCGGCATGATCACAGCCCGCTGCAGCGTCGACCTCCTGGGCCCAAGCAATCCTCCCACCTCAGCCTCTCAGGTAGCTGTGACTACAGGTACGTGCCACCATGTCCTGCTAAGTTTTGTTTTTCTGTTTTGTTTTGTGTTTTGTGAAGAAGGGTTTTCACTATGTTGCCCAGGCTGGTCTCAGACTCCTGACCTCAAGTGATCTGCCCGCCTCAGGCCTCCCAAAGTGCTGGGATTACAGGCGTGAGCCATCGTGCTCAGTCATAAATCTTATTTGATATCAATCCAACACTTGATTTAAATATTTAAAATCAAATTCATGTATGTGGATATGCATATATCCTTATCAATAGATAATAAAACCTGTCTTCATGAGCAGGCAGTGGTTAATTTTAATGTGATGGTATGGCTCTTACTTAAAAGGTGGTGGATAACTCCCATCTGTTATGTTTTTATAAACCTTAAAGATGTATACTATTATTTGCTAGAAGTGCTAACAAGAGAGGAACACAGAACCTTTAAACTACTGAAAATCGTAACTTAGAGAATATTTGTAGAAGAGAAAGTACTAAGAAAGTAAAAATAGCTTTTCCAAGAAAGTTAAATTTGTATTATCAATGGTGTTGAAGAAAGATTATTAGTTATCACAGCTATCTGCTTTGAGATCCTCTACATCAGTGTTCCTCAAACTTTAATGTATTTATTAAACAACTTGGGATCTTGTTGTTATGCATATTCTGATTCAATAGATTCCGTGGGGCCCAAGATTCTGCATTTCCTACAAGCTCCCAAGTAGCACCAATGCTGCTGTTCCATAGGCCCTGCAGTATGAGTTGCAAAGCTTTACAATAAAGTTAGTTACATCATTTGTGCCTCTGAACGAGTAAGGATTATTTTTTTCTCCCTTGAGAGATAGCTGATATTTATGCTTGTGTTTTTAAAAGGGGTTCCTCGATTGTTATATTTGGTGATACTGTGATATAGTACTCACTTATCTAAACACCTTAATGTACTACGAAGCACATTAAGGAGTAATTCCTGTTATCAAAAGAAGAGGGGGAGAGCTAAAAGTAGAACTACCGTTTGATCTAGCAATCCTACTACTGGTATCTACCCAGAGGAAAACAAATCATTATTCAAAAAACATGCTAGCACATGCATGTTTATAGCAGCACAATTTGCAACTGCAAAATTGTGGAACCAACCCAAATGCCCACCAATCAACAAGTAGATAAAGAAACCGTGGTGTGTGTGTGTGTGTGTGTGTGTATGTATATTATTCCTTCATATGTGTATATATATATATATACACACACACACATACACACACACACACACACACACACACACACACACACACACACACACACGTATATGAAGGAATACTAGTCAGCCATAAAAAGGAATTAATTAACAGCATTTGCAGTGACCTGGATGAGCCTGGAGATTATTATTCTAAGTGAAGTAAGTCTTGAATGGAAAACCAAGCGTCGTATGTTCTCACTGATGTGTGGGAGTTAAGCTATGAGGATGCAAAGGCATAAGAATGATATAGTGGACTTTGAGGACTTGCAGGTAAGAGTAGAAGGGAGATGAGGGATAAAAGACTACAAATATGGTGCAGTATATACTGCTTGGGTGATGGGCGCACCAAAATCTCACAAATCTCCACTAAAGAACTTACTCATGTAACCAAATACCACCTGTTCCCCAATAACTTAAGAAAAAAATTTTTTAAAAAGAGAGAGGAGCGGGGAGGAAGGTCAAAAAGCAGTGGGATAGATGGCACAGGGAAGAGAAATGTATTAATATAGATGGAGAAAGTGTTATAGGACCAACAGGTTCATGTGCCTGCTTCAGGAACAGACTAATTACGCAGAGACAGCAGAGATGCCACACCCAGTTTAATGACTGTAGTCGGCTGCGCGCACTGGCTCACACCTGTAATTTCCACATTTTGGGAGGCTAAAGTGAAGAATTACTTGAGCCCAAGAGTTTGAGACCAGCTTGGACAACATGGTGAGACCCCCATCTCTATAGAAAAAAAATTTTAATTAGCTGGGCATGGTGGTAGGACTATAGGTATAGTCCCAGCTACTAGGGAGGCTGAAGCAGGAGAATCACTTGAGCCAGGAGTTGGAGGCTGCAGTGAACTGTGATGGCACCTCTGCATCCCAGCATGGGTGACAGCAAGAAAGACCCTGTCTCTGTTTCTTAAAATTAATTAATTATTGCAGGTTTCAAGCAAGACGATGTGAGGAAACCCTCAAATCCATCTCCCAGAGAAGTTCCAGACTGGAATTTTTAAGGGGATCATGGAGAGTGAAGGGCTGGAGAATTGGGGTCGGATAAGGGGGATGGATCCATCAGGATGTGAAAACTACGTTCTTTGGTGTCAGCTCCTCATGGGGGCCTTCAGACCAACTGAGCCAGTAGTGTGGTCAGTATGCAGGACCTGAAGGACTATTTTCAAGGGAAAACTCATCTTTCACAATATGTAAGTTGATATCTATAGAGCAGCTAAGGGAAATGGTAATCTAAGGTCTACATGATTCTCGAACACTAGGCACCAGACGACCATGAAGGAGCAGGCCAGAGAGCAAGCTGACCTCATGGTTCATGCTGAATATGCTGCAAGCTTGGCTTATTCTCCTTTCTCCCCTCTCTCCTTCCCTGGTTAATTTTATGATGTTTACAGGGCAGTTTCAAAAGGGAGTTCTAGGAGGCAATGGAGAATACAAGAAGCAAGACAAAGCAACGGCGTCTGTGGGCAGATTGCTTGCCCAGCGGTCTGGTGAGGGCGGCTTCTCTGCGTTCAGTAGCTCAGTCAACCTATCTGGACCTCATACAAGACAATGGGTCTTTCTAACAGTTATATATTTTGCCTAATTGGCTAGAAGAGAGGGTGGTGATGAAGTTAAATTGAAGGAATACGTTCTGATCTGAAGGTTACACTTGTCTCCATTTAATTTTAAGCAGCTTTTCCTGTCATTCTTTAAATTACGTTGCCCTGTAATTCCTGCATAGGAGCCTATTCTTTTCCTTCATGGCACTTGCCAGATTTTGAAATATATTGATTTGTCTTTTATTTCTTCAGTATCTTGCCCCCCACACGTAGACTACAAGGTTTATGATTTGGATCAAGACCTGTTTACCAATGTCTATCTAGCACACGTAAGTACTTAATAAATATTACATTTTGGGGGCTTGGGGAATTTTGTTTTTGTTTTGTTTTGAGGCAAGGTCTTACTGTGTTTCCCAGGTTGGAGTGCAGTGGCACAATCATGGCTCACTGCAGCCTCAACTTCCTGGTCTCAAGTGATCCTCCTGCCTCAGCCTCCTGAGTAGCTGGGACTACAGATACACCACCACCCTGCATGGCAAGTTTTAAAAATTTTTTGTAGAGACAAAGTCTCACCATGTTGCCCAGGCTAGTCCTGAACTCCTGACCTCAAGAGATCCTCCCACCTCAGCCTCCCAAATTGCTGAGATGACAGACATAAGCCACAGCGCCAGCCTAAATACTAAGTTTAAAAAGACAAGAGGTGAGCCGGACACTGTGGCGCATGCTTGTAAGCCCAACACTTTGGGAGGCTGAGGCAGGTGGATCGCTTTGAGCTCAGGAGTTTAAGACCAACCTGGGCAACATGGCAAAACCCCATATCTATGAAAAATACAGAAATTGTGGCTCACACCTATGATCACAACTACTCGGAAGGCTGAGGTGAGAGGATCACTTGAGTCCAGGAGGTGGAGGTTGCAGTGAGCCGAGATGGCATCACTACACTTCAGCCTGGATGACAGAGCAAGACCCTGTCTCATAAAAAAAAAAAAAAAAAGACAAAAAGTGAACAGGTCATTGTTAATTCATGGAAAGAGGAGACAGTAACTCCTATTTCTTTATATTGCCTTCAATGTCTGAAGCACAAGCATACTCTCCAGTGTCAGTTCCAGCTGGGTGGAGCTCTGCTTGCTTTGTTCCCTGCTTAAGCCCAAAGTCTAATATGCTGCCTTGCTTAAGGAGCTCAGTAACTAGATGCTGAAGACATACTCATGCCACGGACTGAGTGAGGGAGTTGTTATCAGGAAGTTGGCCCGCAAAGTAAAGAAAATTGTGCTTTGCCTGTAATTCTTACTTCGTATAGCACTCAATGCGAGATCTTGCACACGCTGTAGTATCAATTCAACCGATGCCTGTGGATTGAATTAAGTTCACGAAGGGAACTCAGTGAACGTTATCTCCTATAGAATTTAGCCATGTTCTCTTTGAGAAGATGGTTTTCTACATCTACTTCTATAAGGCCCTCTTCTAGACACTGTGGGCCATGGGGACTGCCTACTCTGCCTTGCTAAGAGAACTCTGTTTTTTTTTTTTAGTCTTTCTCTGTCACCTAGGCTAGAGTGCAATGGCACTATCACAGCTTACTGAAACCTCCGCTTTCTGGAGAACTCTTCTTTTTTTGTTGTTGTTTGTTGTTTGTTTGTTTGTTTTAATTATACTTTAAGTTCTGGGGTGCAAGTGCAGAATGTGCAGGTTACACAGGTATACACGTGCCATGGTGGTTTGCTGCACCCATCAACCCGTGATCTACATTAGGTATTGCTCCTAAGGCTATCCCTCCCCCAGGCCCCCTACCCCGCAACAGGCCCTGGTGTGTGATGTTCCCCTCCCTGTGTTCATATGTTCTCATTGTTCAGCTCCCACTAATGGGTGAGAAAGTGCGGTGTTTGGTTTTCTTTTCTTGTGTTAGTTTGATGAGAATGATGATTTCCAGATTTAACCACGTCCCTGCAAAGGATATGAACTCATCCTTTTTTACAACTGCATAGTATTCCATGGTATATATGTGCCACATGTGGGCATTTGGGTTGGTTCCAAGCCTTTGTTATTGTGAACAGTGCTGCAATAAGCATACGTGTGCATGTGTCTTTGTGGTAGAATGATTTATAATCCTTTGGGTATATACCCAGTAATGGGATTGCTGAGTCAAATGGTATTTCTAAGAACTCTGCTTTTTATAAGGCAGGAACATGCCCAGACTAAGGTGAGAATCGAGACTGGCACAAAGCATTGGATCCCAATCTTCTGCCTATTAAAATCACTAGGGAAATCTTAAAAAAAAAAAAAAATACTGATATCTGCAACCCGCTTCAGCCAAATAAGAATGTCTGGCCGAGAGCAGAGGCTTACCCCATAATCCCAACACTTTAGGAGGCTAAGGCAGGAAGATCATTTGAGCCCAAGAGTTCAAGACCAGCCTAGGCAACATACTGGAAATTTGTCTCTACAAAAAATAAAAAATAATTAGCTGGGCGTGGTGGTGCACACCTATAATCCCAGCTACTCAAGAGGCTGAGGTGGAGGATTGCTTGAGCCCAGGAGATCGAGGCTGCAGTGAGCTGTGATCATGCCACTACACTCCAGCTTGGATGACAGAGTGAGACCCTGTCTCAATACATACATACATACTTACATACATATATACATACATACATACATACATACATGCATACTACCTCAGGATTTTCCCAAGCATAGTAATCATAATTTAAAATCTTGTTATTCAAAAATTGTACTTCAGAATCTCCACATACAACCCAAAGTATGAGATCTATAACTTCACAATGATTTTTTTTTTCTAGAAGCATTTTCTGAAAAGCAAGAGAATATTCAATCAATAGTAGCCTGGCTCTAGCCATTTGCAATTAAAATGAGAAGGTGAGATGTGATACCAGACACTATTAATAGATTAGAACAGCATTTTGTTTCATTAATGGTTTTATAAACCTGATTTTACTACTGGAGAGTATTAAGGATTGTTTCTGTGTTGAGCGAACCAGCACATTAGCTTTAAAGTGACATGCCGTTCATCTTCAGGGCTAATAGAGAACAGAAGCTATGTCCTTGTTTGAGAAGAAAAGATGAACTGAAAACCTTACTGGATGAGTGTACAAATGCCCTGGTGAGCATTTTGAAATGAGAGGTATTAGTCTGGTTTCTTGTGTCCAACATGAGGGGAAAGGTAGGAGGTTTTATACTGAGGGATCAAAGAAAAATGTAGACCACTGAATGCTATGTGTACATTCACAGCAAATATGTAAAAATAACATGTATATAAACAGTAGAGTATGGACACAGTCATTTAAAATTTTAGAAGATGGGGCTAAAATTTATTTAAGGGTTATCTAAATGTTGCTATTAAGCATTAGGGGGTTTTAAGTTTCATTCAGTAAGGAATTATATAGAATAAAAAAAATTCTTACCCAAACTTTTACACTTATTTACTGGGTAACTTTAGACAAGTTATTTAACACTTTGGGGTCTTGAGAAGCACAATCACTATACTTTTGTGTCTTGTACATAACACATCATTATATGTGCAGAAAAGTTTGAGGGTTATTTGGGAGAAATTTTATGTTGTTTCATTCAAATTTACCACATCTGGCATTTGCTATATTTTAAGAGAGACATTTATCCCTCGGATAGTTTGTGTGAGCCAACAGTTAGTTTATCCCCCAGGCTTCGCCAAGTTGCAACTAAGCCAACATCGATTGCTCTTCAACAACTTCAAGGTCAGCATTGACCAGTCAATATTATAGCACTGAGGCCAGAACAACTTTCTAAAAGGATTTTAAAGTGCTGAAAGAATATATTTAATCCAAAATACCGTGTACTTTCCTAAGAAAGCTTGGAGACCCCAAAATTTAATGTGAATAAAAATAATCTGAAAGTAGTTTTAAAATTTACTTACAATAACTTTCCTTGAAATTTATAAACCAAGCTTACTTTAAATTAATGATCACTATAAATGTACTATGTCTACCCTGTGCTCATAAAAATTCATGTCCATATTTATTTATTCAGAAGGAGTCATCTGCTGTAAGATTGATCAAACCATGAAGTCTATCACAGTGAACAGAACTCCAAGTAAAAGAGAGAAGGAGTCTGACTTTTATTGATCAAGCCTGCGTGATGTGCCTCTCCCTAGAGCACTATTCTAAGCATTGTGATTTTTCTGCTGCTTCTCAGAATTCCTTGTCTTTTAAATAATTTCTTGCTGTCTAGTCTTGTCTTTGGACATACATACATGGTTTCTTTTTCTGTCTGAAAAATTACATTGCTCTTCACCAGAAAGTAAAAAATTTCTCACATTACTCTAGAAAGGAGTCTGTCTCTCATTCTGTATCACAGTAGAGTCATGTTGCATCCTGGTGGGAATATCCACCACTGTCCCTACTCTCAACAGGGACTTGGCATATATATGACTAAACTAACTGGATCAAGCAGACACTCTGCCTCTCTGCCAGGAATCGGAATCTTGAGCACAGTGACGCTGGGTGGAATGAAGGTAGTTGGAGTTAAGTCCTTCTTGTGATCATACCAAAAGAGACTGCCCAGAAGTTTATTCTAGAAAGACCCCCAAGAGTTGTCCGGGTTTCTATCCCACCTCAAGGTCAGGTGGTTCTGTTCACCTTTGATTCTGTGAATTACCCAATATACTTCCATACTAGAGTGTAGGAGTGGTAGGAAGTTCTTAAGTTAGCCGAAGCCAGCTTCTGTAGCTTGCAAACAAAGATACAATTGATACAAGCATAAAACATGTATATACACAAAACAAATAAACTGTGTAAGACAGTACAGAAAATCATAGATGCCAAATAAATGACACGGGTAGCACATGTGGTAATAGCTCAGAGGAGCTAGATATGTCTATGGTCTGATAGAGGAAGATTTTATAAAGGAAATGGGTTATGTGTCTTTGAGTTACTGTTGCCCATCCATTGGGCAGCATCTACGAAAGATCAATAGCAGTATAGCATTGAATTAAGAGCTCAGGCTGTAAGTCAGAGAAAACTTGGGCTCAAATCCTGACTCTGTCTGCTTATATAATTTTATTCAGATAAGTTAACCCCTTTGTGCCTCATTTTCTTTATTTGTAAAGCTTAAGGATTAATACTCACATGATAGGTTCAGTGTAAGCATTAAATCAGATAATGTTTGTAAAATGTTTAGCACAGTACTAATATATACTCAATTTTAAAAAGAAATGGGCTGGGCACTGTGGCTCATGCCTGTAATCCCAGCACTTTGGGAGGCCAAGACGGGAGGATTACTTGAGTCCAGGAGTTTGAGACCAGCCCAGGCAACGTAGCAAGATCCATGCCTCTACAAAAAATTTAAAAATTAGCTGGGCATTGTGTGTTATAAACCCTCTGTTGCCTGTAGCCCCAGCTACTTGGGAGGCTGAGGTGAGAGGCTCACTTGAGCCCAGGAGGTTGAGGCCGCCATGAGCCATGTTTGTGCCACTGCACTCCAGCTTGGACAACACAGCAAAACGCTGTCTCGAAAATAAATAAATAAATAATTTAAAACTTCAAAATAAAAACAAATGAATCAATGGTGTGTTTCTTGGCAATGATCGGGAACTCAAACTCAAATCTCCAGGGTGGATGGATGAAATGGTACAATATCCTTGGTCCAAGAAAAGGACCATGCTAGAAGGAATCCATGCCTCTTGCTGCCTCCTATCCAAGCCCCAACCCACCCCTACCCTGTCACACATGCATACATTTTCTCTGGATAGCTGGAATCTCATCAAGGGCTTTGTGAAGCTCTAATTATCCACAAAGTCTTTAATAGTGTGCCAAAGTCATTTCATTCGCCTTGTAGTAACCCTGTGAAGTAAGCATTCTTATCACTGTTACACACAGAGGGTACAATGTCTTCACCCAGGCCACAGTATCACCCAAAGATTAAGAAATTGATTTTCATCAGTTTGCCACCTTCCTTAAATTATTAACCCTCTGTTGCTTTTATGTTTGGCCAAACATGACCTAGAAGGCAACTATTTTAACAATTTTTTTAAAAAACGGAGTTTCGCTCTTGTTGCCCAGGCTGGACTGCAATGGCGTGACCTTGGCTCACTGCAACCTCCGCCTCCCAGGGTTCAAGTGATTCTCCTGCCTTAGCCTCCAGAGCAGCTGGGATCACAGGCACCCGCCACAAAGCCCAGCTAATTTTTTGTATTTTTAGTAGAGATGGTGTTTCACCATGTTGATCAAGCTAGTCTCAAACTCCTGACCACAGGTGATCTGCCGGCCTCAGCCTCCCAAAGTGCTGGGATTACAGGCGTGAGCCACTGCGCCCAGCCAATTTCTTTTCATAAGAAAACCTTTCAGGATTTTTAAAACAAGATCTAGTTTAGCTTTCCTAGAGAGAAAAAACTATCCTTTACAATTTAAGATCCTCGAGAGAGATGTAGGCCTATAAGTATAATCAATTTAAAGGTGATGGTCTAGAAGTATGCATAGTAAGTTGGAGGAACAGATACTCGCTGGGAGATTTTAGGGAGCCTTGATACTTTTTTTTCTGCTGTTCCGTATAATCCATTCTTCTCATAGGAGCCAAAATGGCATTTTAAAGTATGAACGGATCACACAGACTTCCTTGTTTACATTTGTTCCAGTTATTATAGCTATGTAACAAATTACCCCAAACTGCAGTGGGGGAAAAACAACCATTTGGTAGTGCTCGTGGATTCTGCGGACAAGGATTCAGGCCCAGCAGAGATGGTGCTGTCTTTGCTCCATGATGTCTGGAAGCTCATTTGCTGCAACTCAGGTTGGGACTGCAGTCATCTGAACGCTCCTTTTCTTGCAGGACTGGCTGTTGGCTGGGAGCTTCAGGCCCCTCCAGATGGTTTCTCTATGAAGACTTTGTGCTTTCTTACAGCGTGGTGGCTAGGTTCCAAGGGAAGGTGTTAGAGGAGAGAGAGACACACACACACAGACAGAGAGATTATGACCTACCGGCAAAAGTCACATTGACTCACTTCTGCCATATTTGATTGGTCAGAGAAGTGATATGCCCCTTGCCTACCTTCAAATTGAGGGAACATACACTCTACCTCTCAATGGAGAGTGTCAGCCACTTTGTAAAAAGAGCATGTGGACGGGATATATAGTGTGGCAGCTATCTTTCGAAAATTCCATCTGCCACAGTGAGGCCTGGCTCAGAGTAGGTGTTCAGCACATATTTGTTGAGAGAGGAACTGGGTCAATAAAAAGGAATGGTGTTTTTCTGAGCCTTAAAAGACAAGCTACTGAGATTTGTTTTTTGTTTTGTTTTTTTGAGACAGGGTCTCTCTCTGTTGCCCAAGCTGAGTGCAGTGGCATGATCTCACTGCAGCTTCAGCCTCCCGGGCTCAAGCGATCCTCCTGCCTCAGCCTCCTGAGTAGCTGGGACTACAGGTGCACGCCACCACACCTGAATTTTTTTCTTTTTCTTTTTCTTGGAGAGATGCACTGGTCTCAAACTCCTGGGCTCAAGTGATCTTCCCACCTTAGCTTCCCAAAGTATTGGAATTACAGTCATGAGCCACTGTGCCCAGCTGAGATTTTTTAAAAACAGCTTTACTGAGGTATATAATTCACATATCATACAACTTAAATACAAAATGTGACCTTTACAATCAATGGCTTTTAGTTTATTTGCAGAGTTCTGCAACCATTACCACTAATTCCAGAACATATTTTATCACCCCAGAAAGAAACCCCATACCCACTAGCATTCACCCTCCATTTCCCTCCAACCCCTAGCAACCACAAATCTACTTTCTTTATAAGTAGATGCACCTATTTTGACATTTTGTATAAACAACTGGAATCATAGGTAGTCTTTTCTGATTGACTTATTTCACTTAACATCATATTTTTAAGGTTCATCCATGTTGTGGCAGGTATCAAAAGTTTCACTCCCTTTTATTGCCAAATAATATTTCATTTTATGGACATACATTTTATTCATCCATTCATCAGTTGATAGAAGTTTGGGTTGTTTTTTTATTTTAGCGACTGTGAATTCTGTTGCTCCGAACATTTGAGTACATTTTTGACTGGAAGCACTCTTTTATTTCTTCTGAATGTATATCTGGGAGAGGAATTGGTGGGTCATATGGTAAGTCTACGTTTAACTTTTTGTGGAACCGCCAAACTGTTTTCCAGAGTGGCTCTACTATTTTACATTCCCAGCAGCCGTGTGTGAGAGTTTTGATTTTGCCACATCCTTGCCAACACTTGGTATTACCTGTCTTTTGGATTATAGCCATTTTAGTGGATGTGAAATCGTTTTTCATTATGATTTACCCACATGGATGATTTATCTATTTCTGATGAATAATGATGATGAGCATCTTTTGATGTGCTTTTTGACCACTTATGTGTCTTCTTTAGAGAAGTGTGTATTTAAATTGTTTGCCCATTTTAAAATTGGGTTATCTCTTTATTATCAAGTTGTTGGCATTCTTCAACATATCTTGAATTTAAGTTCCTCTTCAGATATGTAATTTGCAGAAAATTTGTCCTATTCTGCAGAAAAGGCTTTTACTTTTTTTTGATGTTATCCTTTTAGTATAAAATATTTTAGTTTTGATGGAGCCCAATTCATCTATTTTTTTTTTCTTTTGTCACTATATGCTCATGGTATTGTATCTAAGAAACCATAGTCTAACAAGTAAGTGCTTTTACAGTTAAGGAAAATTTGGGTGTGGGAGAGAAATAACAAGGGGGAAAGAGCCATGTAAGTTAAGGCATGAGAGAATGAAAGCACCTGGCAAGACGTTTTCAGAATTCAACATATTTGGAGGCAGAAGGATAGAGAGAGGGGAGTCTACAGTGCCCAGAGCGTGAAGGATTTGTATACAACAGAGGGGTAGAGATTTGAGAGTCATTACCATAGGGGGAGCAGCAGAAGTCACAGAATTCTGTTCGATTGCTCAGTGTACTATATACTAAGAAGAGAAGAACTTTGAAACTAGAACTCTGGGGAGTGCCAAGTTTTAGAGAAGATAAGGAGCTCACAATGGAGGTTGACCAAGAGTGGCCAAAGAGGTAAGGGGTAATCAGGAAGAGACTGTGCTACAGGGACCAAGAGAAGAACACGTTCCGGAAAGAAAGGTGTGATCCACAGTGTCCAATAGTGGTTAAATAAGAGAAGGAT